TTTTTTTTTTATGTCTGTTGCCACTTTTTCTCAGCTCTCACTGGACCGATTTCTTTCAAAAATACGTCAAAAGATCACAAATCGTATCTAGTTGAAGACATTACCCTTAAAAATTGAAAAAAATTCTCTCGTTCCCCGCAAATGGGGGAAATATCCAAAAAAATTACAAATTTAAAAATCGCTAATTTTCGAAATTTTTTCACTTTTTTTTCTTAAAACTTCCATAACTTTTTGAAAAATTAACAAATCAGCATAATTTTTTTTTACACTAAAACCTTAGATATTTCACTTTCATTTGATATCATTTTTTTGAAAATCTAACATTTAACCTGCTCATTGGGGGGATTTAAAATAGCAACTTTTTTACAAAAACTAACTTTTTCAACTTAATTTTTGAAAATGTTCCGGAAATACTGCGTCCTTTAAATATATATCAAATTAAAGCTTATTTTATGTACTATTAAATAAAAATTTGTCCCGACGACCTATCTTCTATGCGCAAATGGCTACCATATTCAAAAATATGCTATTTTAACAAATTTTTTTTTTTTTAATCTATCTATCTATCTATCTATCTATCTACAGATTTGCATCAAAGCGTTTTTTATGATAGTGATTTTAATCACTGTCAGATATCATCTATACTGGACCCAACTATGCCACGACCCCACTGTGCCACCATCCCACTGTGCTGGGTTTTTTTTTTATACTATAATAAATATTTGCCCCTAATTATGCACTTTATTTTTACTTTAATATATTTAACAGTTGATTAATGGTTAAACAAATGTTCCCTTCGAAAATAAAAGCCGTATTGTAATTTGTTAAGCATTTACTATAGTTTATAAGTTTAATATTATTTTATTTATTCATAACTGTAATTCAGATTATACATTCATAAATTAATAAACATTTGTTCTGTGAACATTTTTCTAAAATTATAGTGTAAAAATATTTATAGTTAAAACATATTAATTAATTATTATTATGTTGAAAATTTCAATTTTTGAATAATTAATAATACTGAATCAAAAATTGTGATAATACAGAAGGACATATTCTCAATTTTTTTTTTGTTGTAAGTAATATTAATTACAAGTTGTTACAAAGAGATCAGAATTTTTTTTTTTGTTAAAAATTCAGTGATGTTTGTTTACACGTAGTGTTCATTTAATATTAATGTTACTTTTTTTTTTTTTCTTATTTCATAGAATTTTTTTTTTTGAGCGAATATTTATTTAGAAAAACTAACGCCACGTGTGGGCAAAAGAGTACATAGTATATACATATATAATTTTTACAATCACATTACATTTAAGACACATATTTAATTTTCAGATACTAACAGAAAAAAAAATTAAAATCTTAAAAAATGTATTTATTTGCATAGATTTAACTTACAATATATTAGTCTATTTAAAACAATTATTTGACTGATTTTGAATAACAAAAACACAATTGTGCACTCAGCATCATAATGTTTTTTTAATACTCAATTAATACTAGGCACTACGAGAAATACTATTCCTAAGAGATTCAGACTATCAACCAAACGGTTTGGTTGATAGTCTGAAAATTTGTAAAAATAAAAAGTATATCATTGTTTAAACGTCAATTTTGAACGACCTCAAAATAAAATAACCCTCAATGTCGTTAATTTAGGTCGACATTGTGATTTGCAGATTTCATTAGACCATAGAGTAAAAAAACACTAGATAAACATTATTTTTAATGTTACTTTGAAATAGTATAGTTTCACATTGTAAAAAAAGTTCCCAAATTTTTTTTTCTTGTAAATTTTAAAAGATGGCAGCATTTAAACAAAATGCGAACAAAAGGTTTGCGTTTATTTAGCATGTAATTTTTGTTTTATTAATGAATTCATACCGTTTACCCAAAATATATTATACTACATTAATGTACTATAAATAAGCTGTATAATTAAGAGGGTAAATTTTGAAAAAATCAAGTTATTTAAAAATAGAGTTTTATTATCATATGAATAGTGAATATTAAATTATATTTGTACTTAAATTTCTTAATTAAACCAATATGATTACATTAATAAACTAGATAATTAAAAATCTATTCTTAGCAAAATTATTTGTTATGTTGAATATTTTATCTTTAAAAAAAAAAAAATCAGTTGGTTTTATATATTTTAAACGTTTTTAAATTTCAAGACGTACATTTTAAAGAAGTTTATAGATTATATATTCCTATTTTTTTTCAATTGTGAGTAGGTGGACAATTAGAATAATTTTCATATGATATATTAATCAGAAAGATCCATTGCCATTAGAGTAATATAAAAGTTTGAATACAGAAAAACGTTGACAAAAATATTTTTAAAAATAAAAATTTAACGACCGTATTTTTTAATACAGTCGTACATTTCTACAATTTTTTGAAGTTTATTGAAACTTGAATTTTTTTGTGATTTTCTTATTATATCAAACATTGGTACACGTTAAAAAATGACTGAAAAGATCACTTATTATGTTCTTATTATTAAAGTCTTATACATTTAAAAGTGTATACATCATATTCATATATTTTGACGAAGAATTTACAATAGTAGTATGATAACTGTTAAGGAAACAAAAGACAAAATTAGTGTTATCAATTTTAATTCATTCAACAATAAACTTGAAAGTGTTTATGCAGCTAACATTAGAAAACATTTCTACCATTATGAATTATGAGATAATCATTTCAATATTAGTGTACATTTTGCACTGTGAGTACAAGGGGCCGTATCTCGAAAAATGTCTTTTTGAGGTTTCTAAGTTTCAACCTTTCATAAGAGTTAAGTTGTATGTTAATTTGTTTGTAGAATTTATATTAAGTACAAGGTAACTTTTATGTATGTTTCTTGCTAATTTAGATATAAAGTATAAATAAACAATATTAAATTGTATAAAAATGTCAAATATCATAAATTTCTTACATTATATCTTACATTCATAGTGCAATTTGATCATTACTAATTTGTATGAAAAATAATCAATAGTATAATAACTAATATTATTAAGTTATATTAAGTATTCTTTACTTATGTAAATCATGTTTTTTCGTGTAATAGCCTAAAAAGATTAATTATAATTTTGGAATGAATTCCTAGTATGCAAAAATTGTTTAAAAAAAATTTAAATGTAGATTAAAAGTGGTTGGAGTTGATTGTTATTTCTGTTCACTCCGTACATATTTTTACGCATTTATTATTACATTTTTATCATCTAAAATTTATAAGATACAATTCTATGCTTTATTTGTATGATAATAATAATACGACTTGTTATAAGAACATAGTAGTAATAATTATTTTGTCGTATAAAAATCTACTTTCGGAAGAAATTTTATAGTGTAAGGGTTGTAGCCTTTAAATATTGGTATTTTTATAAAAAAATAAAAATTGATAATAAGAAAATACTATTAAAGGTACAAAACTAGTAGAACCATTCAAGTCAAATGTAAAAAAGTAATTGGCTTTTAATATGAATTCGAAAACATTTTATTGAATAAGACGAGTTCATTGAGGTTAAAGCATTATTTGACAGCATGATTGACTTGTTTACGGGAAGTAACATCGCTTTCAATCAAAATGTCAGTTGCTATTATTAAGACAACTCTATTTACTTATTTCCTTTTCTAGTACTTCCAAATTATACTCATAAATATATTTTTTATAAAAGATACCAAGTTTAATGAAAGTATTTTTAAATACACAAAGAAAATAATATGCTCCTTAAATAACCAATTAAAATTTGAAGTGCAATAGACTTTTAATTTGGTTTTTAGAATACATTTAACACATTTTGAACATTTCCATATTATATTTCGTTATATTTTTAAGTTGCATAATAAAGAACTAGAATAATTATTTTAATACAGTGAAATTATATTTATAGACTACAATTGTATTTAAACGCATATATAGAAATACAAGATAAAAATTATTATTCTATATATAGAATAATTAATAAAATTAATAAAAATAATTTAGTTTACTCATAAGTAAATTGCTTTTGAAACAAACTAATGAATTTTATGTCAATTAAAAATGAACATGATATTTTCTATGAGATTCATTTGAATTAAACGCAAAGAGAGAATCACTTACATCGCAGTTACTTATTTGTAGAAAAGTATTTATTTAACTTTTGCGTTTTGAGTTGATATTAGTTTATTTATTTTAAGCCCGTTGATTGTTTATACGTACACATTTGCATTCAATCGGAACAAAACTTCAAAGACTATTTTGATGAAAATGAAACTTATATTTTGTCATCAAAAACCCTATTATTTTTGGATTTATACTAGATATTTGCAAAGTAATATTAGCGGTGGTGTTAAAGTCAGCGGGCAATTAGACTAATGCTTGAATTACTAGCGTTGCGCTCGAAAGATTTTAATCAAGTATTTCCCTCTTCTACAGATTACCTCTATCACAGTCTCCAATTGTATTGTAAGGCTTAATAACTCACTTCAACTGGACGTAATATACGGAAAATTTACATTTCTCTTCGGGCTTCTACCATGGTCGTGATTTGAGTGAATCCCTTTTGCAATAATATCCTTAAATGATAAATATATCTTATAAGTAGAGAATTGAAATACATCTACAAATTACGATTCCAATTTTAATAATTTTACACAAGCATTATATCAATATTACACAATGAATAGAATCAAAGACTCAAGTAGTTTTAAAATACTCTAATTAAAATTTACTCAACTGTCCTCATTATTAAAAATTTGAAACTTGCAGACATAGTCATCAGATTTAAAAATATGTAAATTTTTTCCTACGCTTTCGGAAAGTCTTAATCTATAAACGAAATTACAAACCTTATGTTAACTATGTTTTGGTGTAGTTGTAAATATAAAAAAAGTAATAATCAGAAATATTACAAAAACTTGGTTTAAAAATATCTATAATTTCGTATTTTGATAAGATATTTTCATGTGCACGCAAATGAATTTTGTAAATTTTTGGTAATGGGAAAAGTTGAGTAAATTTTGATTGGAGTATAATTGTTTTAATTACTCATTCATATTCTAAACAAATATAGAAATATTATTATTACAATAGAGTCCTTAATAAAGTCTTTAAATAAAAACAAACAATTTCCTATGTACCCAATAAAATTATATTTTAAAATAACATAAAAAATGTCCAAATACAATTAAAATGTTTGGTTTGTTAATTTAAATTACTCTAACTTAATAACTAAACTTAATTAACTAAATAATTTTTAGTATCAGTTACTAAAAGCTATGTAGCTATGTGTTTATAACTTAAAGTATAAGCTTTGTAATTCTATTTAAAAACAAATAAAATTTTTTAAAAAAAATTTATTGTTCGTTGGCCGTTAAATTTCGATTTTCAGATCACTATGTGTCGTTTAAAATTAAATTATTTTAAAATAACCGGAAAAATTCATCATTCGCTATTGTGTCTTAAATGCTATTTATTATGTAACATTGATACAATTCTAGCGTAAATTTCTGGATTTGGAATCGAAACCTGCACTTTGTAACACAAATATAAAAAAACAAGATAGTACAAGGATATTGTTCTTTCCAATCTAGTTTTAGATTGAAACCTCTTAAAACTTTTTGGTGATTAATAAGAATGATTACTACTAGGGAAACGGAATGCGAGTATTCACTATAAAAACAAAAAAATAAGATAGCAACTTGAGTTACTTTTGTGATTAAATGGCAAATTAATGAAACAACTGATTAAATAAATAAATATAAATCACATAGCGGTGTAATTTTTTTAATATAAGTTGATTGAACGATTAGACTGTAGAGTCATCAACATTATTTGGGCAGTGTTGTTGATATGATGGGGCAAAAGGCGGAACGCCACTTTGTTCTGTGTCATTTTTAAATAGTATAGTAAAAAAGTATTTAGCGTGTTATAGGTACAGATATTATTATGAATTTCATATAGTATAATAATAAAAAAAACGTATTCAATTATAACGTAATTATTTTAAAATATCGAGAAAATCTGTAAGTATGTGTGCATTTACTTGAAATCTTGGGGCTTCTTAAATTTTTAATCATGACCATAATTAGAATTTTTATTTAACAATAATCAACAAATTATAAATTTAAAGAAATAGGTGTGTTCATTTATAACTTGAGGATATTTAGAATCCCCTAAAGTCTTCGAATGTCTGCCTATGTATTGAAAATGAATTCTCTAACTATATTGTCCTATGATTGTTTCTTTATCTTTTTCTTTCTTTAAAAGTAATTTATAACTGTCATGTGCCTATTGATATCGACAAAATTCCATGTTATAATATACAAATACAATTGTATTTGCAACAAGTTCTTAAGCAACAACACGACATAATGTTTTATTATTTATTATTGTTGCTTATTTGGTCTCTAAATGATGATGGCTGGGATAAATGGATCGTATGTTATGTCGGAGAAATTTAAGGAGAAAGTATATATAACTGTATATAGTGGTAGGATGATGCTGTGTCAACGTGTAGTTTGTTTCGGATATATGTGCACATAATGCTCCAGTTTGTTTTATGATTTATGCATGTTGGAAAGAGTGTCACAAACGATGCGATGTTGCGTTCTTTATACTTAATAATACCTCACTGACGTTTAAAATAATTTCGTATCTTTTGTATTTCCCCTTAAACATTTGTCAAAAGTATGTTTAAAAAACCTACCCATATTTGTACGGTACCACAGTGAGGCCGTGACACAGTATGGACGTGGGATAGTTGAAAAAAGTATGGATGATATCTGACAGTGATTAAAATCACTATCATAAGAAACGCTTCCATGCAAATCAGTAGATAGTGTTTAATTATAAAAAATTGTTGGATTATTTCAAAAGAAAAATTAACTTCTATTTTTTGTTCAACTTCGAGAGCCATTTGCACATAGAAGATAAGTCGTCATAACATTTTTTTTTTAACTTATATAAGTTAATATACATAAGTTTTTATTTAAAATATATTTAAAAGATGCAGTATTACCGAAACATTTTCAAAAGTTAAGTTGAAAACATCGAATTTTGTGAAAAAGTTGCTATTTTGAATACACCCCTATGGGTAAGTAAAGTGTCAGATTTTCAAAAATATTATCTCAAATTAAAGAAAAATACCTACATTTTTTATATTAAAAAAATTATTTTGGTACATTCATTTTTAAAAAAGTTGTGGTCGTTTTAAGAGAAAAAAATTTCAAAATTTACCAATTTTAAAAATTGTAATTTTTTGGGGATTTTCTCCATTTATAGGAAACGAGAGAAAATTTTTAATTTTTAAGAGAAATGTCTTCAACTGGATACGATTTGTGTTATTTTGACGTATAGTTGAAAAAAATCGGTTCGGTGAGAGTTGAGAAAAAATAGCGACAGACATATACACACACACAAAAAATCACATTATAATAAAATTAATACATTCTCAGCTTCGCATTAAAACTACAAAAAAAAAAAAAAAATTGATTAATGTTTAATTTTTTTTTTTTTTTTAATAATTCAAATACTCGGTTTGATTATGTAAATATTCGAAATTTTTTTACGATTGCATTTATAAGCTAAACAATCTTAAGTGTATAATTACAGTTAGGCTCAATTGTTGAAAAGACAAGCAGTAGATAAGTTTAAAATGGATTAACTTCTATCACATTTTACTAAATTTATTAAAATCTATGTAGTGGGATAGATATATTGCTGGTGTAGGACCAGAGGAACGTTAAGTTATATTTTTAAACAATGTATCTTTAGAGATACTTTAACTTAAGTTATAACTTCTAATTCTAAGAGTTTTATCGTTGTAACAATTAATTTGACAAAAATAACTGAATAATTCAGTTTTAAAAAATAAACATTTTTTTGTGTCAATATATTTCTCTGATCCTACATCAAATTTATAGAGTGTTCAGTAAGTATGGAAACAGGTCAATTGTTACAAAAAATGAAAACTATAAAAACCACGCTATTTGTATTATATAACACAAATATATTTTTATTGTTAAACTACTAGTTTAAATTTTTTGTTTTATCAAAATAATCATAAAATGTTATCCAATATAATTAAATATATAAACATATATGTATAGATATAAATATTATTGTTATTATCATTTGTGATCGGTGAGTTTGTCATTAATTGAACTTCACTAATCGTCAGTAAAATTTAACTTGCATCGTTAGAACTAATGTACCTAAAACTCGGCAGTTTTTGAAGAAGATAAAAATTGATGTTGTGGTTATAGGATTTGAGTAAATATCGCTACTGTTACACAAAACCTTGAAACGAATGGCTTGAAAAGATCATTAGTTATAAAGAGTCAACAGCACAGTTCTCAGTTTTAAACAATTATTGCTGTTATTACAAATCACAAAACCATAGCAAAACAGTAAAGACGTTCTAAAAGAGTCTAAGTTGCTTTTTAAAAATGTATAACTACACTTTTACAATCAACAATTTTAGGAATGAATTGATTACAAATTTGGCGTAAAATAGTTATTAAAAAAAATGTTTTTCAAACTTACTATTATGTATTATGTATTTGATTTAACAATAAACTAATATTTATACACTAAACAAAATTGTTTAGAATATGTTATATTATTGATTATTGTGTAATAGTATGATTTTAAAAACGCATTTTCTTATTAATTTTAATATATTTTATACACTTTTTACTTTTGTTAACAAAATGTACTTTTTTATAGTTATAATATCATGAGCATTATTCAACAAGGGGATGTATCAATTTAGCCTATATAAAACGCCGTCTTTCATTTAGAAGTTATTAAGAAACATATTATTTCATATCACTGTCGGTTTGGTGAAGTTTTAGAAGCAATTTCCTTAGAAGTTCTGAAAGTAAAAAAAAAGGTTTTAAATATAATAAAAATAAGTGGGGGACTTGGGTACAACCATGTCCTAGCTTCCTAGTCCAAATAAAAAACTGCTTCTATTTAGTTTAATATGTTAAATATATAGAACATATTATCATTTCAAATACTTACTATGTATACATAGTAAATATTTTTCATTTCTTTGAGGCTAAGGAGCACCATTGACGAATTGTATATTCAAAAAAATATTTATAGTATATAAAACGTTTGTTAATGTATTAATTAAACTATTTCTAATAGTAGATTTTATGGGTAAAATGTTAAAAAGGAAACTATTATTATGTTTTTACTATTAAATAAAAAGTGGTCTAGATAAAATTTTGACTGGTAGATAACCATGTATGTAATATAATTTTTTGAGATATTAGCATTTAAAAATGTAAAAACATGGAGGAGCGGAGTAGTGTTTAGCAACACTCTATTTTTAAAATGACTCATAGTAAGAACTCATTAACTTAACCTCTCTCTTCTATAACTAAAATTTACATTAGCATGAAAAAAATAGTAAAAAACTGGTTAACGACCACACAAAATTTTGATAAGACCATTAACAAAATATAGATGCATACATAAATTATGTATATTAATTATTATAAAACATAAAAATAATAAATCATTATAGTCACGTATAAATTATATATTACCATATAAATAATTT